AAATTTCCTTAAGGAAATTTAGCTGTGTTTTTATTTTGCCAAAAAAAAAAAAAAAAACACTTCTGAGGAGCTGCATTGCAGTTCTGTATACATTGTCGACAACAAGTATGCTGTTTTCAAAGAAATCTCTTTCAATATGATGCTGAATTTGTTTTTTTGTTTTCAATCTATAACATCATCAATATAGTCAGTTTGGTCCAAATATCCAAAATAAGAAAAGCATCTCATCAGAAGAGCATCCAGAACTTCCACTGCAAAAAAAGTAAACAATTCTTAAATTGAGTGTATTCATCCTTAATTTGAGTAGCTAAATACGATGGTTTGCCAATGGAAAAAGTATATTAACTCTTAAAATAAGATAATTAGATAATATGCACTTAAAATAAGACAATGCCATTGTGTTTTTTTTTTCTTATTTTAAATATTAATTGTCTTGTTCCATTGGCAATGTGTCTCACTTACATCAACAATTCAAGAAAAAACACCTATTTTATGAAAAAAAAAATACTTATTTAGATTGACATTTTTTGCAGTATGGAAATCCTGGAAAAAAACAACTTTTTGTTTTGCCTTAGAACTCTTTTGGATCCCAGAATGAGCTGAAAGAGGAGTATCTAGATTCCATCCTGTACCTTCTGACTTTCCCATCCAAATTCAGTTAAACATAAGATAATAGATCAATGGATAATTTTCCATTTTCTTGCCCTATTTTTTTATTTGTACGGTAAAATTGCTCTCTACTGTAGCATGCTCACCTGCCTTGTTGAGCAGATGTAAGTCTTAACAATGTGGGGTTCACGTCTTCACAGCGCTTCTCTCATGTATACTTGTGCAAGTAAGGAAGTAAATGGGTTTAAAAACACAGTTTCTGTTGCTGTAATGCACATTAGGAGTCAACGTTTTGGCATAACCTGCTTCTGTGCTGAGATGCATAGGGGAGAAAGCCTGTATATCAGTCAAAGGGCTGTACAGCTCATAAACAAAGAGCATATTTGCTGATTTTCAGCATAACAGTGACCATTTTCAAGCGCATCTGGGCCCTGAAGTAATGTTTTAGGCACACCCTACGTTTCTAAGGTATTGGTCAATAAGGCATAACATTGGGACATTCTCTGTAGCATCTTTTTGTTTATTTGGAAATGTGTTTTTCTTTTTCTTGACCTCTCAATGTCTTCTGTGGAATTTAGCACCAGGCTGTCAGGTTCTGTCCGGTGGAAGCACCAAGGGTCAGACTCTTTTCTTCTGAACATCACACAAAGTCAAATTAAGAACTCAAACTAGCATGTGTCAGGAGACTGCATTATTAAGTTGAAACTGCACCAGACATGTGAGAATATTCATACTTGAAGCTGTGCACACTTTGTAGAACAATGGTTAAGCTTCCCTGCAGAATACTTCCTGAGCACTGTAGGGCAACCTTTGCTCTTTAGAAAAACCTTGACTCTCCCATGACCCTTGTTCATTTTTTTTTCTTCCTTGGAAAAAATTAAGTAGGTTTTACCAAAGGCACACAAAAGCTGCAGAAAGTTTACGCATTGTAATTGATTGACCCTTCACTTCATCCACTTTCTGTACTTGCACAAATTTTTTAGTTTGGTGTCTCTGATGCCTCACATCATTTCACTGAGATTACAAGTTAAAGAAAAAGCAATGCTTTTCAACCGTCTTTATGATCAGTTAAAGGCCCCACAGTAAGTAAATACAATTTCAGAGGAACTGCACTTCACATATTTCACTATTTCTGTGTTTTACTTAGAGTAATGTCTCAGAAAAGGCATCGAAAAAATGAAACTATATTGTTATCTTTTTTTTTTTGTTGTTGTTGTTGTTGTTATTCATCATCACATTTCACAAAACACCATACTTAAAGTGCTGGAAAACTCATGGTTATGCCACAAAATGGCTGCTGTTAACCAACTATAGTAGAATAGAAAAAAAGCAACCAATTTGCAAGCTAAAGCTAATTTAATTTATGTTCTGCAACATTACAACAACCAGAAGTGAGGTAGCAACTCTCCAAGTGACTGGATAAAGAAGAAAAGACTCCATGTGTTGCAATGCTTCTGGTCAAAGTCCGAAACACGGCTGGATTAAAACACAGAGCTAGGACCTAAAGAAAGCTGTGCTTTCAATGACACAAAAGAACCGCGTAAAAGACAAATGAGACTGAGCTCAATGCAATTTCTTCAAGTTCTTTCTGAATGTGGTTTAGAATCAATTAAAACTGAATGAAAGTTTTTTTGTTTTTCCCCAAAAAACATGGCTTTTTGTTTCTTACTGTAGTTAAAAAAAAAAAAAGGCTCATGGACAATACAAATAGTTTGGGATATGTGCTGATGTTTTAGTTTTTTCTTAAACGTTATTTGCCTTACTTTGGAACCTATGGAATAAATAAATCCTGAAATCTCTTATAAGCTATCATAATGACGATAGCTAATCAAATATATTTAGGAAAATTTCCTAATTGCATTTGAGGAAGTTTATTACACCAAACTTTTCAGGATCAATTGTAAAACAAAAAGAATATCGGCTCATTTTATTGTAATATGATATGACTGCTTTTTTTGTTGTTGTATTCTTAATCCAATTACACCCTTTTAAACTTCAGTTTTGTAAAATGTATGAATAAATTAGTATATATTTCATTTAAGTTATTACTGTGTAATGCTGTGATGTTACACTGCTTTAGCTAAGTCCAAAAATACTCTCCCTTTTATGTTGACTTAATACAAACAAATTAGACAAATTTGAATATGTTCTTTAGATGTATTATGTAAATTTGAAAGCAAGTTGATTTGTTGGGATGCAGTGAGAAAAATACAGATTGTTTATAAATTCCAAACTCTAAATCTAGATCTTAAATATTCTTATCTTAATGACTTCTATTAATTGATGGGTTACCAAATCTGCCCACACTAGTAATGGCTAAATAAATCATATGAGCCAATTTTGCATCATCTTAATTAGTCATTCTTATCTCAAAGTGTGATTCTGAGCAGCCACCTGTGGTGTTGTTCACCCCTGTGACTGGGCAGTGCCAGTTTGGGGTATCCTTGTGGTTTAACAAGGCTTTTTGCTGCATTAATGAAGGGTTGCTCATCTGTTTGGCTTGGTCCCAAATCTTTGCTGCTCCTCTTATTGCCATGGCAGCGTCCTGCTGGGATTCCTGTCAGCGGGAATGATTAGCACAGTGGTTTGGGAGCAAAAAAAAAGAAAAAAGTGAAACTAAAAATGCAGTGTTCATGTTCAGATGTTTGAAACATATAGCAGGACATAATTCCAAATTAACTGTTGAATTTCTACGTTTTTATTATTTATTACAGTTAAAGATCACCAATAAAATGAAATATGTGGGATATTGGGAGAACTGATTTGAACGATGTGTCACGATTCTTTGCTTGCACCTTGTGTCAGTTTACGCCCCTTTCTGCAGATTTAATCTCCTCTGACACTGCTGCTTTCCCCTCGGGTTTATCAAGTCAGAAAAGACAAACATCTGTCTTTGTTTTATCAGATTTTACTTCTTTATAACAGCTAATTGTTTTTTAATCTTAAGGGTAAATGTAATAGTTGTTGGCTTTAAATTTAGCAATGATAATTAAAATCCACAATTTTTTATAGTAAAGAATAGTTGACATCTCAGACTTTTTATATATTGGTACTCCCAACATGACATACATAAAAAGGGGTTGTAAATAAAGTTAATATGTCTTTCTTTGTAATTTCCCAGGGAAGAAAGGAACCTTCTTCGCCGCCGAGCATGGGAACAAAGAATCCAAGAAACCAGCCTGTCCAAGGAGCTTGATGCTGAAAATGTGCCACTCTTTGCAGAACCGTATAAGGTAAGATCTGACAGGATGGAACAAAATGCAGAGAGGACAACACTGGCTGTTATTTATTTGGCCACCTGGTGGACCAGTCCAGGCGACCTGAACTGTGTATATGTAAACTCTAGTAGGCCACCTAGTATAGCTCCTAACTACTGGTTTCTATGAATAGCAATATGCTCAGCTTAGCTTTGCTCAAAAAGGTTGTAAAAGTTCGGTTTAAGCAGAGCCATCTGTCACCTTAGTCACATTATTCCTGTTAGACATGTTAGCATCTGTCAGATGATATTAAAATGTTAGAGTAGCATCAGTTTTGGAAAAAAAAAAAAAAAAAAAAGGTCTGTCTTATTTTTTTAAAACAAATTTCCAAATTTTTTATACTGCTCTTACTAATTAGCGTCAAACCCTTCTAATAATTGCCATATTTGAATTTATCCCTCGCTATTTTTTGTTTATTAGACTCTAGTGGTCTTTTTATTAAAAAGTAGAGAGGAAGAGAGAGGAAGACCTGCAACAAAGGTCTCCATGCATCAAGGTTATGCTATATATTTGGGTCACGCTCTCTACCACTGCTCCACTGCTGCTCTATCCTCTGGTATTTTGAGGAATAGTAATATTTCCAGTCCAGGCAGGGCAACTATTTTGGGCAAATTAAAAATAGGTAAATCCTGAGTATTCTACTCTTTAGAGTATAAGTGATTTTAGTGGATCATTTACTCAGGCTATCTGCCGGGGTGGGCAGCTTGCTAAAAAGGCTTCTGCTTAAAGCTTGACTGCTGTGTTTAAAAACAGCATCACCTTATTATGAGGGTTGTTTGTCAGCTCTCTTTGAGGATTACTGCGTAGTTTTTTTGTTGATTTTTTTCCTGAATGGAAATGCTTCAGAAGCATTCTTTCAGCACTGCACCACTTTATCCTTCATGTAGACATATAAAATCTTACTGACCTTATTTAAAAAAAAAAAGAAATATGACAAAAGAGTTGTTGAATGTCTATAAGATGGTCACTGAAAAGGTAGTCTGCCTTTCTCCACTGAGCCTGCTAATGGCCTCAACACCCTCTGTGGCTAAAATAGCTCAGCCTCTGTGGGGCAAAGCAGGGGGCCTTAAGGTCAGTGAAACACTAGCTGGTTCTCCAAGACATTCATTCTGTGAGGACACAATCATAATTGAACAAGACTGATAGATGCGCCTGAAGGACGCTGGTTAGCTTAATCATTTCTTGTAAATGTAGCTTTAAAAGCTGAAGGACGGCAAGAGCAGATTTAGGAAGGGAGGGGGTGATTCTAATACCTGAATGTTATCAGTTTCACATAGAACATCAGTACAATGCATTTTGAAGGAGGTTTTCCTTCTTTAATCCACAGACTCACTTACTTACTCACTCACTTTTATGGTTAGTTGAAAAGAGCGGTCTTTATTGTAAGTTGTTAGGAATTGTTGCTAATATTCTTTTAAATGTTTTGTATAAATCATTGTGGTTTCCTAAGAAGTGCTTTTTGTTTTTGTTTTTTTTTCAGACGAACCGAGGGGATGAGCTCTCTGATCGAATCCAAAGAATGCTGGGCAGTTACGAAGATGTGAATAATGCCGCCCCTTTTTCACTTAAGGCTTTACCCATTCCTTCTTACGCAACCTTCTCACAGTCTGATCAGAACCGGCCAAGTGCCGATCTATCAAACGGAACTCTTTTCCACGATCGGGACGTTTCCATGTCTACTCAAAGCCTGAATGGGACATCAAATAGTGGTTTCTCCTCGCCCCCGTCTGGCTCCTCTCTAAACCAATATGAACATTCATCCAGATTATCGGTCACTTCTTTGAGCCATGGGCAGTTCAGTCACTCAGGACATCATAGAAAGGAGCGTGAAGTCTTCGGCCTTCCCCAGGAGATCTCTGCCCTTTCTCCTGATGCTAAGCCTCTTCCCGTCCTACATTCCTCTGACCACAATATGGACATGGATACCAGGGACACTTTCAATAGGCCTCAGCTTCAAGGCTCCCCAGATATTTCCTCAGGGGAGACGAGCGTTAAGCTTTCACCTGTAAATCCACCTCCACAGCAAGCCAAGACTAACACGCTGCCCTGCCAGACCTTTTCTTCACTGCTGTCATCCAAGCAGGCTGGGATAGTGATGACCCAGAAGCCGACGGCCTATGTGCGACCCATGGATGGTCAGGACCAGGTGGTCAACAAATCCCCGGAGCTGAAGCCTTCACCGGAGCACTATGAATCTTTGCCAGAACTGATCGACAAAACTGACATTGCCAAAACAAAGACAATACCTCAGTTCTTAGAGGTGAGATTTTTTTGGTTTATTTTGATTGTTTTTTTTCCTCATAAAAAGACAACTGTAATATAAATTTTGCTGTAATATCTATTGGATGTGAGAGGACTAGTCGAGTAAGATGCAACTGTCTGCATAAACCCCTGGTCGTTCATTGTTTTGAACCAATTGTATCTTCAATGCTCTACTCCATCTGGGCAAACACAAACCTTTATCGTCTGTCAGAGATAAGGATCAAGTCTTTTTATGACAGATGACTCAGTAAAACACGCCCATTTTTAAAGGTTGTCTCAACCAGACAGGGGCTGTGTTGTCTTGATGTTAGAAGGGAACCTACAGGCATCCATTAACTTGGTGCTGAATAAAATCAGCGTGAAGCACGAATAACAAATCCATTCTGTTCTGACTGGTCTACCTTAGGTTTCTAAACACCCTGTTGTAGCTTTAAGCGACCCAGAGACTGCCACATAGGTTGGACTGGTTCTCCTTGCAGCTTTTGATCCACTGAACACCTCAGGGCTTTCAGTTCAATATACTTTCAGTATCATTTTTCATTCTCCGATAGTAACTCTTCCTTTCTGTCAAAGTTCTTGCATAAAATTTCACATGGTCAGAACAAAGAGAGATTTATCTTTGACCATTCCTCTCTGCCTACTTAGGTCAACATTTTGTGCTATTTAATCCAAAAAGTAGAGAAAATGGTGATTGAAATGTTCAAAATTCATAACTGCACACAGTCAGAACTGATCTTTAAAAAAATGACAAACAAATGAAACTAAGAAAATAAAACCTGTAGTCAAGAAACTGAAAAAAAATAAACTTGAATTAGATAGTTTACTGTCCACAATAATACTACTCAATCATTTTGTTTTTTTATTTATTAATGTTTAAGTTCTCTACATCTGACTATGTAAGTTAAAATCCCCAACTATTGCATCATTTTTTTTTTCATTATTGTGATTAATCCCTTTTTCTGTTGCCCTAATGTTTAATTTTGCAATGTTGCAATTTTACTTTTTCAAAGGCAACATCTGATGAAGATCTATGTGTAGAAGATATCTTAAGGGTAAGTGATCGTAATTGGTGTTAAGAAAAGTGAAAAATTCTAATTGGGAAAGATGAAATATGTCACAATGCAAATTCTTTTTCAGATCACAGTATTGATGCTTTTTTTGTCCGACTGATTCCTGTTGTTTTGTTAACTCTTTATCAAAACATTGAAGGATGTGTTAAGTGCATCTTATTTAATATGTTGGTGTTTGTCTCGACAGGAGATGACTAAGTCCTGCCCACCCCTGCTGACAGCTATACACACACCAAAGCCTGAACCATCGCAGTCTCCAGTCCTAGCAAAGGTCAAATATCCAAAATTAATCTTTTTCTTTGTTTTTTATTGAAGTTTTTTCTGATTTTTTTGTTTGTTTTTTATGAATACCTTCTTGCAAATACTATTTCCGTCAATCTAAAGTGTTCCCTCTGCCTGCGTTCCAACTACGCTGTTGATACAGACGACAGGGGGGCAACAATACTGTCCTGAATTGGATTTTAAAATGGTGATCATTCCTACAATCTAAAGTGTTTCCCGTTCGTTTTTATGGAAGAAATTTATGCAAGTTTCTAAAAGAAAATTCAGATTAACATTTCAAAAAGCAAAGGGTTATTTGAATGGGCTTTAAAAACCACAAGTGCCACATTTGTTTTGTTTTTGCATATTTAAAAGTGAAAGGTCGTGACTAAAAATACATTGGGTTGTGTTAATATAAGTCACCTTTCAGACAGAGACAGGTTCACATGTTCAATAAGATCATATTGGTTTGGAGATATAACCTGCAGATTTGCATTTCTGCCAACTTGTTCAGTGAAGAAGCTGGAGAAAAAGATTACAGATGACTAATACAGTACCTTTTTTTTGTGTCCTTGCAGGAAGCAGAACAAGTCTCCTCCTGCCCAGAAGAAAGTGAGCAATGTTCAGTTTGTCTTGGGCGATCTGTCTAATCTATTTGGACCCGTTTTAATCCAGAGTTGTGTTTCTGTTTAAGGTTTAAAGCAATTTACAAGTGAATCTTAAATAATATATGTATTGGGCTGCAGTGTAATATAACTAAATGAACAAAATGCTGTTTTTGAATATGTGAATATAATGGCTAATCTGTAGCCCCACTAAAGTGAATTTATTCTTCTCTGTTGTTGACCCTCTCTCTTAGGGCCGGATCTATCAAAGGTTTGCATGTATAAAAACGTGAGCTATTTCACTGCGCACGCTAAAAAATGTAC